GAAATTTATGTTAAATCAACAAACTGAGACTGTTTATAGGAACAAGATGATGCTTTGGAGATATCTTTATGTTTACATCAAGGTAATACATAATTCAAACATTTTGTATATATGAATGAATATTTAAATTATAATATTTCATTAATATTTTCAGACAGCATTTCCAAAGTATGGGTTATTCTTAGTTGGTTCTACAATGAATGGTTTTGGATCAGATAATAGTGATGTTGACATGTGCCTCTTAGTAAGACATACAGAAATGGATCAAAGGAATGAAGCTATTGGACATTTAGAGCAAATATTGAAATGCCTTAAAAGATGTGGTACAATTTAAATATTAGTTTTACACTAATTAATTAATTATAAAATTTCAAATTAATAAAGTGGGATTTTTATGTTAACAGATTTTATAGAACAATTAGAACTTATACAAGCAAAAGTACCAATTCTAAAATTCCATGATTCGATACAAAATTTAGAAGTTGATTTAAATTGTAACAATGCTGTTGGAATTCGAAATACTCATCTTCTTTATTGTTATTCTCGAAGTAAAATGATTTTAATTATAAAAAAAATATTTAAATTATGATAATTTAGTTTTTATATAATTATTTTTTCGAATATTTTACAGTTGATTGGAGAGTGAGACCATTGGTACTTGTGGTTAAACTTTGGGCTCAATCTCAGGATATTAATGACGCCAAGAACATGACAATATCTAGTTATTCCTTAGTTCTTATGGTCATTCATTTTTTGCAGTGTATTTATCCAATTTACTTTTTACTTCATAATAGATATGTATTGTTTATTTATTTAAATATATTATTTTTCTTAGATGGTGTCAATCCACCGGTTTTACCTTGTTTACATTCCCTTTATGAAGGCAAATTCACACCACACACAGACATCCATTGCATAGATATCCAAGAAGAACTGGATATTCCAGTTTCTGTACTTCGGCCTAAGAATCGTCAGTCGTTAGGAGAGTTGTTCATCGAATTTTTTCGGTATTATGTCATGTTCGAGTGAGTAGAAAAAAAATATTAAGATATATTTCAATAAGTAATATTATACTAAATAAAAATTAATTAGTTTCAATCAGTATGCGATATCAGTCCGTTTGGCTAATAAAATACCAATAGAAGAATGTCGAAGAGCACGATCTTATAAAAATGATCCTCATCAGTGGAAATATTTATGTATTGAAGGTGAATAATGAGATAAGTTAGAAATCATTAAAAAAGAAATAATATTTTATACTCATTAAATATTTATATATTTGCAGAACCTTTTGATCTAACTAACACTGCTAGATCAGTTTATGATCCAGATGTTTTTGCAAGGATTAAATACGTATTTGATTGTACATACCAGAAATTGAAAGAACATCATGACCTAGCCAGAATATTCGTCAAGGTGGATTCTACTTCACCCTATACTATGACGTAATTACATTCATGCAGGCTGGTACAGAAATATTCACATTATCTAGTATAATTTTATATTCGAAAAACGGTTTATTTTTGCAATTGGCCTCTTCCAATGTAATTCGAGGCAATTCGACTGATATTACTTATGGTATGAGATAAAATAGTACAATGAGGTAATTTTCTACGCTTATCTTGAGCTAATATGCTCGTATCTTGTGATAATAGCCTGCACTTTCGTGCAATGGCTCATTCGTTGCGTTTAGAAACTCGAGTTTTTCTCTCGTCTCGTTTTGTTTCAGTTTTATTTCCTTTTTATAAACATATAAAACTACTCGCTGCAAGAATTTATATTTATATGAAAAAAAGAACAATTATAATATGAAAGTGCAATAGCATTTGTGACTTGAAAATGGTGCTAAATCTAACATTCGATGATAACAATTATACATGAATGAAATACTTTTATATAAAAATATTCCTATTCTATTTAGAATTTTTTTTAAGTTCATTTTGATATATAACTTTATAAAGTTTTTCAAAATTTTCGAATACGAAAATACAGTGCCTTACACTTATCGGCTATTATAATTTATTCGATAAGTAGTTTTTCATTTATCTAAAATTATCGTAAAAAATTTCATGTTTTTTTTGACAATTAGCTAAAAAAAACTATATATTTAAAATTAAAAAAATGACATGTCATCGAAAATTTTCTTTAGTAATTAAAATATTCAAATATGAAATAAAAAAAGTACTTATTATTAATTTAAAAAATGTAGCGAATATAAATTTACACTTTAGAAAAATCTAAAAAAAAAAATATATCTCTTTGAGATAACGAAAAAAAATTAAAAAGTAAAAAAGATAAAAAATTGTTGTTCGAAAAAAAAAAACAAAAATTAGAAATTGAAAAAAGATATTTACATTACTATCAACGAAAACATGTAAAAATCAATTCATCCAGCATACGACATAATTATATATTAAAAATCTTGCAAGTAGACTGAACAATTTAATTAATCATTTTATCAAATTTTCAATAGTTTTCTTTTTCTTAAAAAGGACACATTCTGTCATTAAAGTTCCTATTTTCATTAAAAGAATTAAAAATCCTTACTTCCGGTTCTAGTCTTCTTTTGATTAGTCTTTCGTATGAAAAATGCGTAAAATATATATGAGGTATTTAAAATATCGTATAGTAAAAACATAAGGCTGTGTTAACAGTATAAAACGTATAAACTACAATTTTTGCGCCTGTGCAGACAATTAAAGTACATATTATTTATAAATCAAATGTAAAATTAATAATTTCTTTAAAAAAAAACAATTGTTTTCATCAAATATTTTTTTTTTGTATGTATAAATATAAACAAATTTCCAGATAAATATTAACTAAATGTACATCGTATTTTGACAGGCCTAATATATTTTTATAAATAATTATTTACTTATTTTTGTAAGAGATATAAAGAAATTAAATATTGTCTTCCTTCGCTAAACTAAAAAATTCATAATCTTTCTGATTTTGTCAATTATACGCACATGTTATAAGCTAATTATACGCTAAATTTTAAGGCGATATCATCAAATTTTTGTAATTTCGATTTTGTTGTTAAATAAAAACTATTTATATACATAACATTTGAATATATTAAATTTTATTGTAGAATTAATATTCTAGAAAAAAGGTAAATCATATTAGATTTTGCAGGTTAGAAACGAACGAAAATTGTTTTTCCAAATTAAATTTATTCATTTTTTAAAGTTCACAATGAATTTTCATATTATATTCTGCAGTTAGCGGTGCGCTGTTGGTCGGAAAGGAGAAAAGAAAACAATTTTGTATTATGTAATGTTTTCTTTCTTTTTCTCATTCTTAATTTGTTTTGTGAATTCGTTATCCAAATTTTTTACCGCGAGAAGCCAATACAGATAAAAAATACAGAAAAAAATTGCAGAGGGTTTGCGAGAGCAAAAAAAAAAAAAAAAAAAAAAAACAAGAACAAAAGAAAGAATCTAAATTATAAGAAATTAGCAGATAGAATCAACTTTGGTCAGTATATTAGAACGCATAAAATATTATGAACACTAAATGAACTATTCATATCTTTATAGATAAGAATAATATTCAAAATCCAGATAATTTTTTGTTTCTTTTTTTCAAAACTGTATCAATTTTCATCTAAATAATACTATTATAAAATTGTAATGTTAATCGAAATTAACATTTCTATTTTTTTTCTCTAATTTTTTTTCCTTCTTTTTTAAAGGAATTGTTTTTATTACTTGAACATATATTTGTAATTTGTTTTCTTTTTTTTTTACTTTTTTTTTTTGATCATTTATATGCAAATCCTATAAAAGAAAAAACAAGTACTGAATGAAAATCATTTTTTTCATTCTTGCGCGCTCTGTCGGCCCCTGCGGTAAATAAAATATATACAATATATATATATGCGTATGTATGTGTATATATATATCGATCTAACCAGAAAAGATAGAAAGTAATTAACATGATCAAAATTAATAAGATTCCTTATTGATTAGCGTAATATTAATATTACGCTATACTTATGAGAAAGGATTCCTCCTTCATGATGATACTCAAGTGTCGGCCTTATGCTGTTTGACGACAATTTGGTCAGAAATTTCTGATCAATCTGATGATGTTTTATCAGTTCAGGAATAAGTCAATGACGATAATAATCGTGCTATTTTCTTTTGTTATCAATATTGTTGAGTGCCCACGCGTTGCAAGAATCGTACTTTTTATTATAATTTTTTTCGCAGTTTACAAAATAATAATTAAACGGCATATGGATTACCAAAAAAAGAAAAAAGAAAAAAAAGAAAAAACAATTTCACTGTAAAATTCCAGGATTTTATAAAATCCTTTTAGATTTTTCTCAGCAATAGCTGTTTATCTCATATCTTTTTAAAGAAAAATAAAAAAAAATGTAACGCGTTATCAGACTCAATAATATAATGCGTCTTAATTCTTTTTTTCTTTTGTTTACATTGCGGATATATCAGATATCCGTAACATTGTAAATATTTCCTTTTTTTTCTGTTTTGTCATTTAGAGATTCGTTCAGTCATTTCAACGAATATATTGGCACATTTCTCAAATTTGATCAAGTCATGAAGCGTTACACGTTCCATATCTTCCATTTTTCTCTTTTATCTTTATTATCATTACTATTTTTTTTGTTTTTTTTTTTTTTGGTATTTTTGTATTGTTTTTTTTTTTCTTTTTTTCTTTTTTTTTTTTTTTTTTCTTTTTTTTTACTTTTTGTCTTGTTGTAATTGTTAATTTTAACGTCACTTGATCCCCGCGATAAAACGGTACGTTCACGGTAAACGCGTGTCACAGTGATAGTTGGTAATTTTAGTGTGATAATGTCGTCTCCCAGTCTCTTTCCTTTTTTGTATTTTTAAGAATTTTTTTTTTTTTTTGGCTTGTCGCACTTGTTATGCCTGGTGGTTTTACTCTTTAACCATTTCCTTTCCCCGTCTAGAACAATTCAGCATTTCGACGGTAAATGGCGACGAACTCTCCCGTTTGTAGTATTTTTTTTTTTTTTGGTTTTGCTTGTTTGTTTTAAAACCCTCTTTTAAAACGCCGACGACTGCGTGTGCATATACCGTACTCGATCGCCGAGCCGTTTTACCGTTTTGCGCAGTTAGTGATTTGTGGTTGTTGGTCGAAGAAGAATTGGTCGAACGAGCCTTCAGTCGCTCCCGCGACGCTGCATAGCAATTGCGTTGCTCAGCCGTACGGTCTCGGCTCAATATGGCTGGGAGAACTGTCCCCCAGCTTGTGACTGTCCAGATTGATAAAAACCACTTCGATCACCTTGATAAGTTGAGTCTTGAGATAATAAGCCATCCATTTGCGATTGAAATTCTCCGACAGCAAACGAATCCTGAGAAAGCTCTGCTTGACTAAGGCCGGGCTGAGAAAGACTGAAACCTGGTTGCGACATTCCCTGTGTCGTACCTTGAGTTAATGGTAAACCTGGCTGACTATATGGTTGAGTATTTTGTTCCGTTTGACTTAGTTTGCCCATTCGTGGACCCTGTTTATTTTTCGATAAAGATGTTCCTCGACGATTACGTTGGTTTTGTCTAGCCTGTAATGCCTGCTGATGTTGATTATAAAATCGCGGAGGCACATGTGCCATATTCATAAACATTCCCACTGGAACTGGAACATTATTCATCGCTGCTTGAGCTCTCTCTGGACTGATATAGCTTATGGTGTCATGGGTCCTACTGAATATATCTAAAGGTACATTTCTTTGATAATAAGGATTATGATTTTGCGTTCCATTAACCTGAGTACCTGATCGATCGTATACGGAACCTGGAATAAGAGCTTCTCTTGCATCATACATTGACGTGGACATGAAATGAGAACCTGGATTAGCAGCATTAACGAGTTTCTTTGGTTTAGCAAATTGAATCATAGATTCTTTAAGATTATTCAAAGGTCCTTCTACTAGAACTTTTTGTTCTTTGTAAAAACTCAATAAATGATTCCATAATGGTTGCTTTGATAATACTTTCGGATTTCCTACAATTATGATTCCATATTTTGCTCGGGTTAAAGCTACGTTTAATCTTCGTGGATCATTCAGAAATCCAATACCTTGATGTTCATTCGATCGGACACAAGACATAATTATTATATCCTTTTCCCTACCCTGAAATGCATCTACACTAGCAACCTCGATCTCCTGATAAAGTTTTGAATGCAAGGATCCTTGGTATTGCATATATTGAACTAAATAAGCTCGTTGACCTTCATATGGAGTTATTACTCCAATTTGTTCAGGCTTTACACCACAACGTAAAAATCTAGTTGCTATTTTTTCAACATTAGATGCTTCCGTTCGATTCAAATATGACGTACCACTTCCAGCTATTTCTTCCTGACCTTGAGTAACATAAAAAAACATAGGTTTGTCAGGTGCAGGCCAAGGAAAATCAATTTTCAACAATTTTCTTTCATCTGCACATACACCATTTTGCAAAGAACCTTCATAGAAAAAATTTGATGGAAATCGAGAAAGATCTGGATGCATACGATATTGTACTTCCAATCTGAAAGGTCTAATTCCAAGTACAACTAGTCTTTCGAAAAGAGATTGTGATAAACCTGCTCTTGCTGCTTTTTTGCACATAACTACTGGTCCTAATTGACAATGATCACCAACGAGAATTAATTGTTTTGCTCCAAGAACAACTGGCACCATACATTCAGGTTCAGTTGCTTGCATACTCTCATCAATAAGAATCGAATGAAACTTGAGCCTGTGTAATCTAGGATCACCAGCTCCAACACAGGTACAGCAAATTACATCGGCTGCTTCCAATAATTCTTTTTCTGCTGCTTTTTTCAATAATCTGTAACGTTTTTCATCAACGCTAGATAATTCTCCAGTTTCATCTTTTAATTGCTGTAATTTTTGCAATTCAGTATTTGTCTCCATATTTTTGATTTGATTATGAAGAGCAAGAAAGCTGACTGGCGAATCGATTGCTTCTCGTGATTTTGCACAAAGTCGTACAACTTTTAAATTAGATTTATGTATTTTTTCTGTGAGTTGATCCACAGCTGTGTTTGAAGGAGCACATACCAAAACAGGACCACCGTTTTGTTTTACGAGTTGATAAACTATCGTAGCGCTAGTTACAGTTTTTCCTGTTCCAGGTGGTCCTTGAATCAAAGATAAAGGCCTTTGTACAGCATGTTTTACAGCATATACTTGAGAACGATTTAAATCTGGCAAATTCGGAGCACTAAAATGCTTAGGAAGATGGCAGCGGAATAAAACTTCTTCCACTTCATGTCCTAATAATCTATGATATATGTAACCGGATACAGAAGTATCATCCACAGCAAATTTCCGTAATGCTAATTGCATGCTATTGTAAAAAAAGAATATATTGAAAAAAACATATTTTTAAATATTATAAAATAAAATATGTCTATGTAAATAACTTACCGATCAAAACTTGTGCTTTTCCAAATAAAATCAACGACGAAGTTACTAACACATTCCGTCGGAGCGCCAGAATTATTTTTTAATTCGATCCCGACTTCTTCTCCATAATTATCAGGAATTTTAATCACGTGTCCAATTCCAGACCAAGGTTTGTGAAGTTCACCCAAATAGCGAAGTCTCAATTCATCTCCATGCATTAACTTCATATCACCGTCTGTTTTGGCTAACATGAAATAAGCAATTGTCTTTTTATTTAGTCCAACATCCCAACGTACTTCGATGTTCTCTTGAGTTTGAGATTCTTTTAAACGTTTATCATAATCGGCTTCTAATTTTACGAGCGGACCAAATATATTCTGGTATTGGTATCCATCTTCATACCGCAAAAGTACTTGTTGCGGTTCTTCATCTACTCCAGGTTTTTCAAGATCTTGGAAAGTCGCATCGACATTGTCCCGCCATAATTCTTCTAACTTATTGATTTGTTGAGCAGAAATTTGTCTGGCACGTAATTGTTCTTGTTCTGATGGGATTTTTACTAACCAAGCTAAAAAAGAGCGATCTTCAATCAATGGTTTCCATTGTTCTTGATCCCTATAAAATTTAAAAAATATTAAAAATTATAATAAATCATTACATTCGTAATTTTTCTTAAAAATAAGTTTACCAATTCATATCCTTCAAGGAACTTTGAGCTGCACATGGTTGACGGCAGAGTAATACAACAACAGAATCTGCTTTAGCAGGAATAAAACCAAGAACAAAAACATTCCTAACAGCACATGAATAACATTCCAGAACAGTTTCTCCCAAAGGGCCATCTCTAATATAAATAAATTATAGTACAAAATTAAAAATTATTTTGTAACTGAAACTGTTCTAAGTAAAATATAATACCTGTGTAAAGTAACTTCCTTATGTTTGGCTCGAACAAGATGATTAATAATATGAGAACCAGATGTATTTCCACGTCCATTACAAAACCATTTGCGGCAGACATTACACATAACAACGCAAGATGCTTCATGAATACCACAATATTTACATGCATGTTCTGGTAAATCACGATTGTAATATGCTTCTTCTTCTTCTTCTTCAAACTGTAATTCTGCAAGACTTTGTGCTGCTCCAGAAATTTTCAAGTCTAAAGATGAACTGCCACTTGTTCCATTAACCTAAATAAAAATCATAACAATGTATAAACTAAAAACATGTTAATAGATATCTTAAATATTATATCTTATTTTTTAACTATTCAATTTTGTTTATAGTGTATATAGTGTATATATATATATATATTTTTTTTTAAATCTCATTTAAAATATATTTTTTTTCATTTACAATAATATTATTATAATATTATATTATATTATTACTTTTCTTTTCATATTCATAAAATTATAAGTCGGAAACGATACAAATTATTTATCTTGCATAATAATACGAAACGTTAATTATCGCAAAAATCACCTAACCTCTAATCATCGAAAAAATATTAATCATATTTAGAAAAACTAATTTAAATATGAGAAAATTATGTTTGAAATATTTTACATACATTATAAAAATCCTATTTATGAAGAAACTTCTTATGTATAGCATAAAAACGAAAAAAATGTATAGGTCATGAAATCAAGATAAGGCGTGGACATAGAAATAATATATATCAGGAATTAGTGAAATTAAAATTGAATGAGGTTAGGTACCAGCCAAATTTAAACAAAAACTTGGAACATAATAAAGTCAATTAACAAAAATATAGGTTAGAGGTCAAATTCAGGAGAACATATGACGAGTTAAAAAACCAACCTGTACAGGCTGGTTAGGTTGACTTTGGGCAGCATCGTGTTGCGAAGCTTGAGTTTGACTCGGTGAGGGTAATGTAAAATCGGTGAAATCAAATTCGCTACCCTGCGTGTCTGCACCGATTAAATCAGCTTCCTCTGTATCGAGGAACGTGAGGGTCTGACTGCTAGGTCCATATGCATCGACGCTCATCCTGTACAGATACTCGATGTCCTTTTCGTGCCCTGCAAGAAAATAAATCTACCTTCGATTCCGAAAGCGATGACGACCACTTTTTCGCAATAGAATACCGCGACACACACGAAACGCTTGTGTAATTACCGTTAGCGAAATAATAGACAAACAAAACTACCAAGTAGAGTGAACTCTTAACACTGCTCAACGAAAGAGGCCAGAGGGAATCCTACGCCATACTTCGTCTCGCGCAAGTCTCGCGCCCACCAACACCGACACGAGTATGCGACTAACTTTTCTTCTTACGCTCGTTATATGTTACGTCATCAGCTGATTTTTATGTACGTCCCGAGAGATCGAGACTGAAAGTTGGGTATTTCAGCGATTTCGTAGTCACTAACGATGATTGCCTTTCTCGCGATTTGATTTTTCGTGCCGATTTCTCTCGAAATTTTTATCGGTTAAACGTATGATAAGCGGCAGATTTCGTTGCATCCCGATAGATGACGACACAACTCATTTCATTGTGTGATTGTGGCGGGAAAAAGTACATTAAGACTTATTTACGACCTTTATTTTTTCTTTAATTTCGTTATTAATTATAATTTAAGTCAATAGATGTCGCTCGTGTATTTAAATATTGATTTATCGAATATATTATTAGTGTTAAAAAATTATTGTTTAAAAAAAAATTGTATTGATATTAAAAAATGGCTAAAGTATTAAATGATTAATTATATTATAGATTTTATTTCGTAACTAATAATATTACTTTTAAATAATTAAAAGATATAAGAACAAATTAAGCTAAAACAAGTACGAATTTCGTTTTTTCATATTTTAAATTTTTATCGTAATTATACTATACTTGTTTCTTTTAATAATTTCTTAAGATATTTAAATATAGAGAGAAAATATCATTTTTTTAAGTCGTTTATTGTCAAGTTTTTTTCCTACTTCCATGCACAAAATGAATGTAACAATAATTCTACATTTCTATAATCTACAATAAAAATAATAAATATAAAATTTAATATATATATACAAAATACTTGTATTGAGTTCTATCGATTTCTATATTCTTCGATGAATATTCGTTACATTTTCCTATTACATTAAATTATTTTACATAATAATTGTAAATATGTACTGACTTTATAATAAGTTTTTTAAAATATAATATCTTAATTCATACATTTATTCACAGTTGATATGCTTACGCGCGCACATACAATGCATTCACACGCACACAATATATTATATTAAATAAATATCGAACCGTATATAAAAGTAGTATAAAAATTGTTCTTCTTTTATTAGATCGAAAATCGATGGCAATAAACTATACAAAACAGACCTTGCTCAAATTTTCAAGTTTGATCTTCGACGAATAAGAAATATTTTTTGTTCTTTAACATCATATATAAAATATTTGTGAAAATATCAGTCTTGTGTGGCGGTATACTGATTATATAACTTTGATCAGTTTACTTTACCGATTAATTAAAAAAACTATTTAATAATTAATCATTAAAATATCAAAATTGATTGCTTTCGAATATTTTTTTTTTTTTTCATAATCGAATTAATGATCGATAGTTTAATTTAAAAATCTATCTATTAATGCCCAAGGGCAAAGTAAAAAAAAAAAGCTTGTATAAAATGCAGGATAACGAATATTTTTTTCTACTCGATTCATTGTAGTGTTAAACATTAAAAATTGCTACTAGAAAAAACCTCAGCTAAATCCTGCACTCTCACTTTGAAGAAATTGATGAATATAATTACAATATTATTCCAAGATCCGTGGAACATGACAACTTCGGTATCAAGCATTTTCTGCAATTGTCCTCTACATTCTTTGATAACAATATATAAAATGGCACTGCGATATCTCCTTTTGTTCCTAAAACAAAAATTTATCATATCCATTTTTATTCAACAACTCTGAATAACTCTTCATAAAGGTAGGTAGTACAGCAGCAGACGTGTCCACCATCTTTACCATACATCTTACACCAATTATTTATCACCAAATTTATGAAATTTACAGTCAGTATTGAGGATTTGGCGAATTTCTTTGGAAACTATTTTGTTGATTTTGTTGCAACGGCCCAGCTGGACTAGGCCTTCCTTGCTCGCGATACTGGGGAGGGCCGGTTGACCCGTTAGAGGGTCCTGTTGATCCAGGAGGTCCAGGTATCTTTCCATAATTCCCTCGCGTCGATCCTTGATAACTACCATACGCAGAATCGTCACTTCGTCTAGAGACGTGCCCGTACATACTTTCCGGTCTTCTAGAGTTCACCGCGTTGTCCGAGTTGCTGGATAATGTTCCATTCTGATGTTGTTGCTGCTGCTGTTGCTGCTGCTGCTGCTGTTGCTGCTGCTGATGATGATTTTGGGCCGAAGGCTGGACGTTCGAACCCGATTGTTGAGAATTTTGACTGCTCGGAGGAGGGGCTGGAGCCCTCCCGTATATACTGGACCCCGTGGTCACGCCGTAGATACCGTTCTCCCTTGTACTGAGAGTTGTGGAGATCCCTCTGATCCCGTAAATACTTTGCGTGCACTGTTGCAATTGATTTTGCATGTTCTGATTCGTGCTGTTGTGATTTTGAGAATTTTGATTTTGACCATTTTGCTGTTGGCTCTCCCTGCCCGAGCCCGACCCGGTCTGCCCTATCCTGATCGGGTACAAGCTCTGCGCGGGGGCCAAGGGGCCCGGTTTTGGGATCATCAGGCCGTCCCGCGTCCCGGAACTCGATTTCGCGTACACGCTTTGCGAACGGTTCAGATTCGCCCTGGTCAAGGGTGGTGACTTACAATAGAGGGATTTCGTCCCACCGTAAATGGATTCGACGCGTTCCAAGGCAGTGGGGGGAGCGCTGTAGATCGACGAGGACGCTCCGGCGACCGGCCGATAAGTCGCGTAAGCGCTCGAGAATTTTGGGCCGGACGGTTTGTCCAAATCGTCGTAAGTGTCCTCGTCGGATCTCATTGACGAATTATCCCCGTCGTCCATATCCCGTGGATCCCTGGACCGTTTGGAATTCAGAACGTATTCGTGGAGGAGGGCCGCTACCGCGCTTCCCGACAACGGGCCCACCCAGTAAACCCAGTGGTTGTCCCAACGGTTGCTCACGAACGCCGGCCCAAGCGCCCGGGCGGGATTTAAAAACGGGCTCTGAAATGTCAATTTTTCAAAAATTCACTTCATTTTCATCCTTTTAATTCAATCTTCTATTTTGTGTTTATCAGATTGTTCAGACGCGCAAAGATGATAGAAAAAAAAAAAAACGAAACTTTCTTAATTCTTTCTCTCGAGGTGTAGTACACGTGAATTGTTTTCTTCGGAAAGCATTGTACATGTAGGTTTACAAAACAGGTGGGACCGAAGGATCGAATTCCTCTTTTTCTTTTTTCTCCTCTCTCTCTCTTCTCTCTCCGTCCTTCTCTCAGTCCTTCCTACTCAAGATTTCCCCCCTCCTCGTGCTCTCCCCTCTCCCTCCACCGCAGGTGCTGTTTAAAGACGCGAACGTGGATCTGATTCGAAAGAAATCGAGAATCGGTTTGAATAGACCGATCGAGAAAGAGGAATACAAGTACAAACGTGGGAGAGAAAGGGAAAAGAACGTATGTACATCGCTTTCCATGTTAATCCGATAATGTTGTTTTTTTTTTCTCTCTCTCTTTTCAATGTTAAGAAACTCGTTATTTTGTACAAAAAATACGTGTATACTCACTGAAACTAAAGTAGCCGCCGTGTAGGCCGCGGCCAATACACCGGCTGGTTTTGAAGAAACTAACATTGGCAACGTTTTCGTGGATTCTGACGTGAAATGGGCGAGAACTATAAGCACCGAAAGCGTCAATTCTACAAGAAGCCTCTCAATAGGTCCTCCGAGACGACCTAGGGAAGTCAAAGTCTGCGTGTTGGAAGGAGTGGTTACCCTGCAATGATAAAAATCAATCGTTATTGTTTAATTATATCGATAATAAATCTTCATATTTTTAAAAAAATATCATACGAACGATAGGAATGATTTTTCAACGAAAACGATAAAAAAAATTATCGATATTGCGAAAGGATTTCCGCATACGGCTTGTCACGATATAATATATGATGATTCTCTTATTGAAAGTTACTATTGTAACAGCGGTACAACCCAGCATAAAAGCCCCCTGGCAGCGAGTCAGTCTCTGTGGTGTAATGTTTATATTGGCTGATGCATGGGCTTCATCCATCGCTTTTTATGCATACATCATCATGTTTCTTCTTTTTTTTTGCACAAAGATTAATAATTTTTATAGGTTTGTACGATTTTTTGTACTGTGTTATATGCAGTGACTATAAATTTTTTAAATAATTAATTCTATGTAATTTTAAATTCTTTAAAAATTTTTCAAATCAATCCTATTTGTTTCGGAATAAATAATGATTAATTTCGTGTTTCATTCATTCATTTAATTTTTTGCAGATTAATAGAAACGTTAAATCAAAATTGATAAAGAATTAAATGCGAGATACATGTGCATAAATTTTCGGAATAATCATCTTCTTTGAAACTTACTGCCACGTGCATCGGAGAAAAAAATTTTCCCCCATCTATCCGAAGAGCAAATGCAAATGAAAGCTCCCCTCTTATTCGCCTTCTCTATCTCGAGAGGTCTTATAATCGTGTCACGAGGAGAAAGCGAATTGATGAAATCAGAAATGCAGATCATGACTGCACAATTGAGATTAACTGTGTACGTGTACAACTGTACATAGGATGGAAACAAGAAAAAACACATTTGTGCATTTCTTTTTGTGAAAATTTTCTAAATTTATGCTCTTTTCTGTGATTTTTCTTCTTTTCTGTGCGAGTAATATTCAGATAATTGTTATCATGATTTTTATTTATATTATATATAAAAATTGTTATTATTGTCTTTTCTTTTTTTTCATATCTGGTAAATGACTCGAAATATTAAACAATACATTTATATATTAAATTTTACATATTTTTATAATATCTATGCTATATTTTATGTTATTCATATTTTTTTCCAAAATAGTATTTAATACAATATATGTATTAAATATTTTTTAAAAGATACATCAATGGTTAAAATGCGTCTAAAGAGGGCGAAAATAGATTTCACTCTTTTAAAAGGGACCCATTTTTTTCTACGAGCCAGAAAGAGAACACTCTTTACACCCATTCTTCACTGTTTATGAACTAACCTCCATTTTCTCTACGTTAAAAACTCTTCTGCAACAAAAAGGCAACATAAAAATATAGAAATATATACATATATAACCTAAGAATATAGACCAAGTAATTTTACTTGAACCTTACTTATGTATTTGCAACTCTTAAAAAAAAATCTTTTCTTCGTTATAAATATCTCTCTTATCATTTCTATTATCATTTCTTACAATTGTTGAATGTAAAATTTGTGTTTCCAGAGATTCACTGTAAAAAGTGAAACAAACTTCCCGCCATTTTTTCGACTCAACGTTATTCCATACTTCTCTGAGAAAAAAATTTCTCACAAGCGAATCGACTGACGTCCGTTTTCTCACGTTTTCCGCTCGAAAAGTTACGGTCACTCAACCGAGACCTCATAGTTTAATTCGGCGTGCACTTGATTCGAGAGATCATGTGCAACCTGTGCCTATATACAGGGGTAACCGAACTCCAAAAACACCCCCAAGGGTCCAGGGCGGCCGACACAACGTTTAAAATAAATTTCAATTCGAAGCGAGAAAGGGGGATATGTGCGTGTGTATCACTTTCATTAGACCTCTGTCGTGTTTAACGAGCTATTGATATCTTCCACTCACTGGATCTACCACTGTGTAAGTAGATTGGTATGGGCGTATACATGTACGAGCTTGCCACGGTAATCGTTACTATCCCCTTTTCCAGAGCTCCCTTTTTCAACCAAGGAAATCACCATATGTATGCAATGTGTGTGTGTGTAAAGGCGCGGTGAAATCTATAGTGATTCCATTCTAAAGTTTTGCCCTATGGGAAAGTTCAGATGCTCGGATAATTGCGGTTAAACCAGAAAATTAGGTTTATGACGAATCACTGATCACCGAGGGCGAGTTGTGGGAAGTTTTACAAGATGACCATTCTTTCCTTATGAAATATATTGTTACAATCGAATGTTGTATCAACTTGATAGAATACGTAGTTTCAAAATTTCACGGTAGATGGATAAACTTGTTCATCCTTTTTGCGATTTATTTGAATTAATTTCAAACATTTTCCTCGAGAAAAGTTCAATTTCCTTCAATACAAATTCAAGAGGACAAGATGATCATTCTTTCCTTATGGGATATATTATTACATCGAATTATTGTACCAGTTTGATAGAATTATATGTAGTTTCAAAATTTCACGGTAGATGGATAAACTTGTTCATTCTTTTTGCGATTTCTTTGAATTAATTTCAAGCATTTTCCCCGGGAACGGTTCAGTTTCCTTCGACAATACAAATTCAAGAGGACAAAGCACAGGAATTCTTTGAAAGACCAATGCGCAAGGTTGGAGCTCGAAGTTCTATCCCCCTTGCCGTGAATAAGAAACGTATGAAAAAAGGGGCCAGGAAATGTGTACACCCACAAGGATCCGGTTCTGTTGTGAAATAACCATGCCGATTGTTCTTATTTTTTATTTTTTGTTTTCTTCTTCTCGCTTCATTCTTATTTTACGATAAAAGTAAAATTAAATATGTAAATGTATGTATAGATGTATATATGTATATATGTATGCATAATGTATATGTAAATGTATGTAGATGCACACACAACATATAGAACGAAAGAGGTTAACAATGGAAGAAATTTATCTTATGTACAACTCAGCATACCGTATCGAATCATGCCTTCACAAATTATAAGTTGTAAAAGAATCTTATTGACCTATTAGAATGCAAGGAGAAAAAAGACTATATGGCAGTTGGAAGAAATTGTGGATCCTTCCATCTCTATAGAATCCTATATAAATCGTGGGCTGTGGCTTTCTATGGAGGAACACGTGCCAGCCACATGTTGCACAAAACGAATCCTTCAGTGATCCTTCCGAATATCCGAAGCGTAAAGTCGCAGTTACAAAGGAGTTCTAGAACCCCATAAATGATTCTCTTTCGGACGAAGGATATGAAATATCGGCAGATGTTTTCCGCCTGAATCTTTTCAAAGATGTTGAATTTCTTATATGCGGACGTTTCAAAAGGAATATGTATGGAATATTATAAAATATCAATAATTTCAATCAATCTAACCTAACTTAACCTAATATTCTGAATCATTTCAGAAAATTTTCAATGTTTGTTCTAATTTTTTTTTAATACTTTTTGCGATTATTTATGTTTACGATTATTATTATTTAACCAATTAATTGATTATTATTTTCAATGATAATTAATAGCTCTAAAATTTTAAATTTGAATTTTACCATATTTCAAATACAAATTATTTTACTCTATAATATATATACTTTATTATAATAAACATATTGTGTTGTAAATTACTTGAAGAAATAATTTTTGACAGGCATATATAATCTAACAAGTTACGATCAAGGAACGGGACGATTCTCGAGAACACGTGGTTGTGACCATCTGTTGGCATACTGCTTCGACCATCCATCTTATCCTTAGAAACCTTGCAAGTTCTTCTCTCCTGCATCCGCAAAATTAACACACACGACCATCAATCTTTTTGAAATTTTATTTTATTTATAAAATATATATTTATGAAATGCAAGGTATGTTTTTTAAAGAAAGAAAGAAAAAAAAATTCATAAAGATAGTTTAGATTTTTAAAAACTATTTACGTTTAATAAAGGAGATAAAGCATCGATTAGACGAGAAAATAAAAGAAAATAGAATAGATATAATAGGAAAATGAGACAAAAGAAATCCTTTAGAAATTCCACTTTGTATCGTCTTCATCGTGAAATTACCACAAAGAAGACGAGGTGTAAACTTTCCCAGCAACACGTTTAAATATTTATCTTAAAGAACGACTTATGCTCTTAATAATGAACAACGAATTTTTAAGAGGTACGTGAAAGACTGCCATATGTTTTCCCCTTCTTTTTTTTTTCGTTTTTAGAATTTATTTTTACTAACCGAGAGAGATGTTTTTTCGTGCAACAGGATACGATAGAACGGATATGTTTTCAAGAAGATGTAACCGGCACGATTTCAAAGTTGTAAAAGCTGGAGGATCCGTTTGAGCGGACCGCTTTGTGTCCCGCGATAAAAAGTATTTCAAGCAGGTAAAACATTCCTACTGAAACGATTCTACCCGATCCACCTGGCTTTCACACTACATTTTCGACCACAATTTTTTTCTATGTATGTACATGATATATCTAAAGTACTTTGAAAGTAATTTTTTTCATGATTAAATTTTTGTTAATTGTTTAAAGATAAGGAGAATATGTGAATTTCATTATTTGCAATATTTTAGAATTATCTGTAAATTGAAATTTTTGGAAGAACAATATATTCGAAAGCTAAAAACGCTACATATTTGATTGATCGACGAGTTATTTTCGAAGGAAAATCCGAGGAGGATCCTAAGTTGGCTGACAGTATTGAAGAAAGTCGTCAAAATTGCAGCTTAAGAACCTAATATCGACGGCTTTCGAGAAAAGGCTTGGATATTACATATCGCTATAAAGTGCTCTTTCTAAAATATCATCTTCTTCTGACAAATGAACTTTCTCTTCGTTTTTTTTTTCTTTTGAAGTAAGCATTCAATCCATTTGTTCCTTTACTTCGTTTCATTATAAAGATCATATTTTTATGAAGATTAATATTAATGAAATCAATTACACTTTTGAGAGAGAGAGAGAGAGAGAGAGAGATTTAAAATTCAAAAATAATAGTTTTGCATGCAATCGCACAAGAAATCAATTGTTCTAGATTCTAGAAACGAAACGTGACTATCATAGATACATATTGTATCATAGATAATTTTGAAGAACAGGAAATGCACGATGAGACTGTTTCTTAGCTGGACATCCGGTTCGCCACGCGCACTGCGTGTGTCTTACTTGACGTCACAACACACACCTGCTTCCTCACAGCTGTTCTCCAGTCCAGTGGTGGTAAACACCTTTGACAAATAGTTTTATATCACTATTTCAAATATCTCTCTTCAACTGCTCCTTATTCAAAAAAATCTCTATATTGACATGATTATTCCTTTTTATTACATGAATAAGAAATATAAATTTCTTATAGTAACTTCTTATATACAATTTAAATAATTGATTAAATTGTCAACTATTTGAGATTCGTATTTGAAAATGTGAAAAAAGGAACTTTTTTTATGGCAATATATTATAATCTTCTTTGCTCTATTCTAATCCTTTTTGTGCCATTGAAAAATTGGACAAAAAGATAATGGAAAACTCTTGTAATGTGTCGATACTAAATCCTTTCCGGATAGTTAGATCTCGCGATTCTCGTAATAATCTCTTGGCTATGTTAGTTCAGTTTACGATCTATCTGCTTGGCTGTCTCTCCATTTCTTTTTTTATTTATATTCCAGGGAAGTATCGCAGTGGGAGCTGCGACCACCCCTCGACAAAACGTAAGGATATGTGTTTTACAAACGCCAGACACACACCATCGAGTGATCCAGTCGCAACAGATGCAAGAATACGCGCTATTTCTTTCTTCATCTCTCCCTTGGCCATGTCTTTTTCCCTCTCTGATTCTCTTTTTTCCCATTGGGGTGCATGCACTCCCTGGAGATATTTCTGGAAGGGATGACGAACCCGATCGGTTAACTAGAGTATTGTTCGATTATTATTTCGGTACATATCGTGCACTTGTTATCTCTTTGTGCGGTCATATGGTGGTCCAAGGGTGATCGTGCCGTCGATGACGGATCTGTCGTTGCATCAAACTGTTAGGGATGTCTATGGTTATCCATATAATTCCATATTATGCATTTAAGAAAAATGTAATTTAATATATTTAACTAATAGGAAGAAATTATTTTAAAAAACAAGATTTAATTTTGTATTATTTTATAATTTTCAAAGTTTGATAATTGATTAATTTCTTTTTACAGGTATTTAAATATAAAATACTTATCAAGGGAAAACAATGAAATATTTTTAATATATATAAAAACGTCAATAGATGGATAATAACGTTGAGATTAATGAGTGTTCATATCTTGTACGTTCTTATATTTTATAATTACTATAATAGCATAAAAACAAGAACTTCTACAACAAATCTCTACATTTGCACAATGTAAATACTAACCTGTAATGCTGTGTTACAGGTTGAACAATCCCCTATATCGTAACATTGATTGCATCTACACTTGTTTAGTATTTCTTTCTTACAATTCCTTTTTTATATATATATTTCAAAAATAATTCCAAGCATGCAACAAGAAATAAGAAATGACAGGAAGAAGAAGAGGGAAGAAGAAAAAAAGAAGGTAAAGAAGGAGATAGAAGGAAAAATGGAGGACAATGATCCTCAGAAACGGAGAGAACATCTGCTCTGTGGGCCCAGATCGTAGCATGTCCTCCTTCAATAAGAGGCGATCGCGTCGTGAAACTTGTCCCACCTCACCACGCATAGGTATTCATTATCTTCGTCTCTGGTGCCTGCTCGATCCTTTTTCCGCGCGATCTTTTTCGGTCCATGGAACATCTGCGGCAGCTGCAAGACGGTGGCCTGCCGCAGCATACACGGAACGAGGCAGGTGCTCACCTTCGAAGAAGTTTCTCCCCCTAACTCTGCCAATTACGCGTGCCTCTTTCTGCCTCCCGCTTTCCTTGTTTCTTATTCGTCATTCTTCATTTTCCCGTTTTCAAATCTTTTTATCGACAATCGTGGATCATAATAAATAAATAAATATTATGATAAAAATACAAGTTTCAAAAATACAATAATCTTGTAAAAATTGAGTATTAATGATTTAATAATTGATTAATTTATCTTATAAAAAAACATATTTTATGTTATTTCTTATAAAGATGATAAATTCGGAATTAAATATAAACTTGATATTCTTCGTGATATTTTCTTTTTCTCCGATAATAGAAAAAAAAATGATATATACAGGATATAAAGATATAAAGCTTATAAGAATAAGATATAAAGGATAAAAAAATCGTTCTTTCTCCCTTCAATTTTTTTCGCCCTCTAGCGAGATTCTTTAACGACGGACAAAATTGAGGCACGTGCATCGAGTTGCACGCGGGCGATCTTTCTTTTCGACCGAAGAGAAAAAAAATAGCATGCTCACACGCTCCTAATCATTGTCTGGCTACGGAAATTCGCTGCCCCAACGAATTATTATAGATTATCTATAGAATTAATAATAGAGATCTTTTAATAATAATAATAATAATAAAATATACCGATGAATATATAATATCGATCTGTAAGTATATGTACTTTAAAGTAGTTCTTACAATCGTAGCTAGAGGGTATATAAGATAAATTAAAACACTTTATAATGTGACACAAAAATAACAATCGAATTTAACTTTTAAAAGAAAAAAATTATATCGTAAATAATGCATTTTTAAAAAATCATTTTTTTTTATTATGTCATCTTTCAATTAAGTTTTTTATCACAAATTTTCATTATTTTAAATTCAAAAATCTGCATTATTTAAAATGGATTTTCGAAAATATTTTATAACACGCCCTCAGTACTTTTAATTAGGTTAGTTATATTTTATTAATAATTATAAAAATGGATGCGTTCATTTTCATATAAGAATTCAATAATTATTGATTTCAGAACTTTTTAAAGTGGTTAAAATACTTCAAAGGAACAGAAAAACTTTAAGGATTTGATCATGTGGCCTTCTCGGATTCCAGCTATCTAGCAGCTGCTCTTCGTATCTCGTTTTTTTTTATATCGTGTTTTTCCATGTGTATGGACACTTAACGAAGTTTTTTTGATTTGGAAATTTATCGTGTTAAATCCTTTTAAATTCAAAGTGTTATTCGAAAATTATATTTACTATATAAAAATAAAAGAATTTAATTTGATATGGATGTTTCATGGATTTTATAATAATAATTACCTAATTATTATAATATATATTAAATAATAATAATTATCTAATGTTTAAGTGATCACTCACCCGTACAGCATTGCAGCACCGGCTATACCACCTCCACACTGTGCAGCAATATAGAGAGCAGCTCGTAGGAGAGAGATTCGTCGACATAAAGCGAAAGACACTGAGACAGCTGGATTCACGTGACTACCTGTATCATTTTATTACAAGTTTTATTACAATCTTATACAAAACAAAATTGAATATGTATCATTTTATATTATTATTTATTTTATATTTTCTATATCGATATTTATAAAAATTAGAATTATATATTATATATAATATAATATGAATTATAATTTTGCTATTCCAAATAATTGAATGTTACAAAATTACAGATGTTTATGAATTAGAAATATGAAACCTTCAAGTATGGATATATGAGAATTTTAAAGAGCGAAGTCCAGAAGCATATTTTATAGAAAATAATGATTTTATGAAGAATCAATTTTCGAATCAATTTTATTCACATGCGATGCAAATTAACATTTTGCGTTCAATTCATACTATTTCCATATCAGTTGCTATTGAAGCATTAAAAAGTGAAGAAGATATTCTTTATTCAAATACACAAAATTAAAATTTAGAATAATACAATTAAAAAAACTAGTTTCTTTGAAAAATTGAAGAAATTTCTGTTAGATTATATAAACAAACAAAATTATATTTTACTTTGCAAAAATATATTTATCTGGATTTTTATTTAAATAGCAAGGAAACTGAGTATCTACACAAGCATTCCAAGATGATACATGAAATATATATGTGCCATCTAGGGCACGCTCTCGCACATGCTCTACTATATGCATAGTGTGTTTCCATTGGTTATAATTGGTTAATGAGTCAATCGAGAGAGGAGGAATTGTAGGATCGAATACAAACGGTACGATAATATACATAACAAAAAGTTTCCACAATTAATATAAAATACTTCTATATATTAAGAAATTATTTCAAAAACATAACATTTTTAATATTGTCTAAAATGCAATTAATAAAAATATAAAAAATATGAAATATATATTTATAACATCACAATCAAAAGTTTATGTTATTAAAAATATTAAAAATTACAGGGATTACTTGAAAATTGGAAAAACATTATTCAAACTGTAAAACTTACCACTGATATGACCAAAGATGAAGCAGATTGCCGAAATTGCAAAGCCGGATGCTACAGCAGTGGCTAAGACGGAAAGTCCGCTTCCAGAAACCGCGGAAGACGCAGCTGCGCCAGATACGATAAGACTGAAAAGAAAAGTAGCGAAACACTCGACAGCCACTGCTCTCCAAAGTTCTAAGCTGCGAGCTTCTATAGACATAGGCGCTTTCTTCTCTAAGAGTTCTGTATTATTTTCCTTTAACGAAGAGATCCTCGTAAGTAAGGTCACAATATGAGCATCTAACTCTCTTGAAAACGTTTCCGTAGGCATTTTTTTTTAATATATAATAAATTCATAAAAGAAGAAATAATCTATTCTATTTTTTATAATTTTTTTAAAGCATTCTTTTTATTATATCATATTCAGAATGCACTTAAATGTCCAAAGTCACTTAGTTTACACTTCCACACAATAATAAGGAATAAAATAAGATTTGAATAGTTCATGAATTGATGAAGCAGATGAATTGTAAAATACTGACACAATGAAAGAGCACAAGATTGGACAAGAAATAGACACATGAACCCGATGTTGCCAGAATGGTAACGCACTTTCGAGTGACAAGACGATCGTCGAACAAGTGGGCCCTGGACTGGCGAGTGCCTCCACCATCGCACCGCCCCCACCCTTCGACCACCACCGGTGCATCTGTTCTTAAAACTCAAGGAAATCTGCTGGTCACTACGCGCAAATTGTATATCCTAAAAAAAGTAGAATTTTCTGAGAAAAATATCCTAGACGAAATTGAAATTAAGAAAAAAGTTAAGAAAAAATATGATTAATTGTGTGATTAATTATTATAGTACCTTATATGGATTATGTTCTATTGGGAATTAATATTTAATATTAGAATGTATTATTTGATAATTTTAAATTTTGTCTTTCTTATTTTGTCTTTTCTTTTGTATTTTTTTTTTTTTTTGTCGAAAAATTTATTTTTGAAATTAAATTTATGGTGGGATTTGTTAATTTTACAATTTTAATTCGCACAAAATTGTATCTCTCACTATTATTCATTAGAAAGGAAATTTACTTTTATTAAAAGAAATTTGAAATACTTCATTTAACAACCAATCATGTAATAAAGCGTATAAGCATTTCAGAATTTTTTCAGATTTTTTGTTTAAATTAGAAAAAATAATTATATTTATCAAGGAATGTCCTATTCCCATGAGTTCATTTTAATATCAAACCTCCCACAAAAGGGAAATGTATGCACAATAGGATGCAAACAACAATTATAATAAAGTCTATTTAAATGAATCAGGATAGTCTGTTATGAATAATAAATGTATATTCATTACAAACTATTTAAATTTGAACATTTTATTAATATATAAGAAATTAATCGTCTTTAAATCATATTTATATCTTTATTTATATCTTTTTAACTAAAATTAAACATCATATGAGCAATCAAAATTATTAATTTCAAAAACAAATTTTTCTCTAATTAAGAAATAATTTATCATAAATAATTATTATCATAAATAATAATAATATAAATTATTTAAAAAATATATTATATTTAAAAAATTCTTATTGTACAATAACTGCTAATTTATATTCACTTTTGTTTTCGACCCCGTCGTGTCAAGCGTGACGATTGTAAGAGGATAGCTGAGAACGGATAAACGTGATTAAGCCAGTCCAGTTTTTTACTGGGACTGTACAAGCGTGTGAGTAAAGTTGACTGGGGAATGGATAATAAATCCAGCAATTGCTGTAAATTGGAGAATTCGCTTGAAAGGGAAGCATAGAAAGCAACAGAAAAAACTTTTACTTTGTTATAACTTTAATAGTAGAAAGAGCTTTGAATAATATATACTTCTAAATGCAAAATCTTCATATTATTATGATCAGTCGATTTTTTAAAAGAAAATGAAAAAATGGTACAAGATTATCATAATGGAAAGATTTTTCATTGATAAAAATAACAGTGAAATCGTCGATTATCGCATTATTCATGCTTCAAGGTATCATCAGTTTCAATGATACAATGATAATCCGATTTTTTATTTTATTTTTAAAAATCATTAAAAGATTACAAAAAAATAAGATATTTGATTTAAATATTAAGAGAAATTTTTCAATAAATTCATTGAATGACTAATTATATTTTAATATTCGTGAAACAAAAAATTAAAATGTTAAAATATTATTCATAATGAGTATCACTGATGTAATCTATTTCAGATAAAATCGGTAGATAAGTGTCTTTATGAACAGATCATATATAAAAGTATAAATCATTCGTTCACGCAATGGCATACTTAGATGATTATAGAAATTTGTGGATCACTACTCTGGCTATATCGCTTTAGTATATAACAAGTATTTATTAGTGCGTGGATGGTCGCAGCGTGTATTTGCACGCGAGTAATATTACCATTCAGTACGCTTTGAACGTTAGTCCCAGTAATATTTCTATCATAAATAATTTTCGAAACTTCATATTTATTATAATGTGATTGTAAATCAGTTTTATAAGTGAATTTAATTTTGAATAATTTGGCTGTTTCATAACTTTTTATTAGCAATATCGAATAGTTATCATGCGATGATACATAATAATACTTAAAAAATATTTATAATGTAATATAAATTTATAAAAAATTATATTTTAAATGTAAATTATAACGCATCATTATAACATATACATATAAATTAGATTTAAATATTTTTTTAAATTTTAATTAAAAAATAATGGTTTTAAAACGTGACAGTTACAGGGTGTTGGCCTACGCGTGTGTCAACTCATTGATTTCGTAAGCGCACGTGTACAAAAATCGAACGTTTAATCTTTTCTTTTTTTAAAAAGAAAAGAAATGTGTTTCAGTTATTTCTATATAATAACTTCTCTTTTCCATATATATTTTTAATAAGAATATAATTACTAGTGAGATTTTACTTTCATAGTAGCTTTCGCTTTTTCTTACTTCATTGAGAGTTTCTTGGAAGATCGAGTTTCTCGTTTTACTATTTGTCTAAAGTGTTATGCATGTATACACATCGCATACATATATTTGTTTGTTTGTGTGAAAAACCAACTCGCACGCGGGCAAGATGGCTGCAGGTACTCCATACTTGTCGATTGGACGCATCTGTTTTTGTCTTTGTCTCTTCGCAATTACGGTAATCTGTCATGAACAAATATCCTCGGGTAGTCGGTATTACAGTCGTGATGGAGTATATGTGCCTCTAAATGGGCCGGATCATCGAACCGAGACTTATGTTTACAAAGACAGAAGGTATGGATATCGTCCTAGTTATTTGGACGTTGTTTACAAAGAACATGCCAAAGCACCGGAGAATCGGTATCTTTATGAGGTAAGATAGAATAAATAATAATTATATTCGTATTGTAATGAACATAATATAATATATTAATATATTATATTTATATTATTTCTAATAAGTAAGATTATAATTAGAAATGTTATTTTAAAGGAAACAAATTCAAGATTTCCTTTACCTGGAGTGTTAAGTGGTTGGCGAGAAGATCTTCAAGGAAGAGAGAGACCTGACTCTAAAAATCTACATAGAGATGTGACTGTGAGCACAAATTATGGACAAGTGCAAGGGTTTAAAGTTTATTTATATGATAGTCCTCAAGCAAGACATAGGCCTTGGAGTTTACCAGTTGAAAGAGTTACAAAACATGTTAATGTATTCCTTGGTATTCCTTATGCTATGCCACCTACAAAGGAAGGACGTTTTAAACCACCTAGACCTCATAAAGGTTGGCAACTATTACAAGCTGTGGATTGGGGACCAGCTTGTCCTCAACCTAGTACATATACTGGTGCTACTAAAGGAATCCGAGATGTAGATGAAGATTGCTTGTATTTGAATATTTTTACTCCATCAATTGATTCTGGTTTAGCTCAGCCATACGCAGTTATGTTCTATATTCATGGTGGAGAATTTTCTCATGGAGCTAGCAATTTATTTCCAGCTCATATATTAGCTGCATTTTACAATGTAGTAGTTGTTTCTATTAACTATCGATTGGGAGTTTTAGGATTTTTAAGTACAGGAGATGAAAACAGTCCTGGAAATTATGGAATTTTGGATCAAGCTATGGCATTGAGATGGGTATATGATAATATTAGAGCTTTTAATGGTAACCCTGATGCAATAACTCTTTTTGGACCTGGTGCTGGAGCTGTAAGTGCAGGGTTATTAATGGTTGCACCCAAAACTAGAGAAATGGTATCAAAAGTAATAGCTCAATCAGGTTCTGCATTAGCAGACTGGGGAGTTATAATAGATAAATACAGGGCACAAAATACATCCAGAGTATATGCAGAAATGTTAGGCTGTAGCATAGAAAGCAGTTGGAAATTGGTGCAATGCTTAAAAAATGGTAGATCTTTTTTTGAATTGGGTAATTCTGAACTGAAACCACATATTGGAATGTTTCCATGGGCACCAGTATTGGATACCAATTTCACAATACCTGATAATTGGTATGAAGATTGGAGAGCATCAGATTGGCGTTTTTTTATGGAAACACCTGAAGAAAGTATAAAAAATCATAGGTTTAGAGATAATTTAGCATACATGGCTGGTGTAACTACTCAGGAAGCAGCATATCTTATATGTATGTTTTTTTAAATTTTTATAATTTTATATATTATAAATTAAAAAATATTTGAATTATTGCAGATAACAATATCACATTAGCCAGAAATCAATATATTATAGATGTAGAATTATTCGAACAAAAAATCTGGGAACTTGTTCTTCAATATAATTATACATTAAATTCTCAAGGAGTTTATGAAGCTATAAAATACATGTATACATATTGGCCAGACCCAAAAAATATTACACATATTCGTGATCAATATATTAATGTAAATTATTCAAAATATATACATATATACTTTGATTTTTGTAATTATATGTTTATATGATGTTGCATTTTCAGCTTTTATCTGACTTTCATTATGTTGCTCCATTTGATAAAATGGCGAAATTGTTAATAGAAAAACACGTACCTACATATTTATATGTATTAAATACAACAGTGGAAGCATTAAGATTACCACAGTGGCGAAGTGTTTCTCACGATACTGAACTTCTTTGGTTAACAGGAGCGCCATTTATGGATGTTGGTAAGTTTGCGATAATTTAAAACTTTTCGTTAAAAATAATAAAAATAATAACTAAATTATTATATTATTTAGAATTTTTCCCTCAGAAGTGGAATTTAAAGAGAGATATGTGGACAGACAATGATCGGAATATGAGTCATTTTTTTATGCAGACATACTCAAATTTTGCAAAGTATGGGTAAGTTTTTAAATAACATAAAGTTACATTATTTTTAATTATTACGTTACATTATTTTCTTAAATGAATATTTCTTTTACTTCGTTGGATTTTAGAAATCCAACACCATCGCAAATTTTAGGTTTACACTTTGATGTTGCTAAGCCCGGTCAATTACGATACTTGAATATCAATACTACTTTTAATAGTTCAATTTTATTGAACTATAGACAAACAGAAAGTGCCTTTTGGTCCATATATTTACCAACTGTTATCGGTCGTTTAGTACCTACATATCCTCCAGTTACTGAAGTAAAAATATTATATTCTTTTTTATATATAAATTTAGGAAATTTATTTTCTCTCTTATTATTCTTATTATTACAGTATTGGTGGGAACCAAAACAGCCATTGCAAATTGCCTTTTGGTCAGTTTCCACTGCCTGCCTGTTATTAATCGTACTTTCCGTAGTATGTTGTATGCTTTGGCGCAATGCCAAAAGGTAAGAAAAGGTAAACAGAACCAACCCCGTGATAGTATTTTTACTTTAATAATGCATGATGGGTGATGGTTCTGATTTAATAAAAAAATAACATTTACTATAAAAAATAATAGCTATTGAAATTGAAAATTAACATAACATATATACATTAATTCTATCTTTGCTTATAATTCATGCAGCAAGACAAAGGCTGCCAGATTATATGCAGGTAATGCATAAACTTTTTATATTTCATTGCACAGCTTTAAATATTGAAAGGTCATGTATTAAACAAGATAGATTAATTAATTATAAATTATGAATTAAAGAATTTTTAATGGTTTTATTATTAATTTATTTTTTTTACATTTCAATTATTATATTATATTAGAATTAATAAATAATCATATTTGAATTATATTTTTGCATTCTTATGCTTAGACAATCTGACCACTACTATAGCGGAGACATCCTGATGGTACGAGACGATGAACCTTCGGAGGGAATCGAGAATATAACTCGTACTTCAAAGGAAAATATTCATGAATATCGTGATATGCCACCAATCAAATCTAGAATACCGCGACAAAATGAAATAAAGCTTCAAGAACGATTAGCACATAATCGAAAATTTAGTTCGACTCCATCGTTAAGAAGTAACTCTAATACTTCATTGAAAGATATGCGTTCGGAAGGATTTGTTACCAGTTCACCGAATGGACAACCTAAATTAAGCAAAGCTATGAGTCAATCTTCATTACCCAAAAGTAAAAGCAAGACACATTTAGTTCAAGGTATCCCGCAAACAGCTGTATGATATATTTTTAAAATATTTCTTATTACAGCTGTCTTATTTATTTTTCTAAAAAAAACTATATTCTGTCAAATAAAAAATTAAAAACAATATGTGTTCATATATATACAAAATGTTTTTTTAGTATTACCATTTTTGAAATATTAAAAAACATTTTGTACATAGAAAACTTGAAAGATTGTCATATTAATGATTTAAGTTAATATTATAAGACTTTATTAAACATTTCATCCGTCCATAATAATATTAATATATTAATATAACACTGTATATATTGATACATATATTTTGTACTTTTTTATGTTCATTTTTATCATTATAAAATAATATTACTTCTTGTTAGGCCTTATTGTTGTTGAAAGATAATTTAACTTAAAAAAATATATCTATATATCATAATAGATATGAAATTATAGAATATGTATGCCACATAGTAATATGTATTATGTAATAATAAATATTAATATAATTAGATCGAGACAAATTTAATAATTGTATAAGTTTAAAAAGTAAAGTATTTTGTTCTTTTTATTACAAAAGTGATAAATATAATACATATTAATAATATATATGTGTGTATATATATATATATATATATATATATATATATATATAA